TTGGCCGCCGCGTAGGTCAAAGGCAAGCCAGACTCGCGCGCGCGCCACATTTGTTTGGTCATTTAAGTTAAAATGTAAATGCTAAATAAATAGAGCGTATTTTGCTATAACAGTTCGGTCTCTAAACAAGTGCACGCGTGTACGTGAAATTCGTGTCAAATAAACGCGCGCTTTGCAGTGCCACTAAAAATTGCAAAGATTTGAGGACTTATATGCACTGCTCCCGTCAACCTGATACAAAGTTGACAAGTCCCATGTCCCTTTAGTTTCCCCTACACCCTTCGAAACCGAAGCATGGTATTGCTCCATTACTGCTTCGCTGCAGAAAGAGGTATAGCAATACTTCCCTAGGTGAACTCTTTCACAAGGAGCTGCACTACGTTTGGCGCACTGTTAGTTTCCGGGATAATTAAGAAAAAAATACTATAAATGGTCAGAAATGAATTTATTGTTTCTCAAAATATTCTCCGTTAGCGTTAATGCACTTTTTCGTACGAATGAACCAATTTTGAAAACATTTGTTGTGGCACTCTCGGTGACAATCTCTGAAACATATTTTTCATACTGTTCGACAGTCTCAATAACTTCTGGCAAACAAATGCAATCCAATCACTATTCACGGTACAACGATTCTCCAAAGCAACAATAGTCACGTGTCCAGTTTTATTAAAAAAGAAGGAATCATTCACTTAGAGGCACTTTGCACGCGCGCCACTTTTAATATTTATACTGCAAAAAGACGTGCATTACAATGCCGTGTGAGCGGGGGGTAAAAGTGCTGGTGAAATTACAGGCACCTGAGACTTGTCAACTTACGCCTCAGGGTGACGTAACCAAGCGTAACCGTATAAAAGAGTCGTTTAACCAAGGTAAACAACTCTTTTATGGGGAACTGTATAGGTTTTTACAATAAGATTCCGGAGCATATATTAAGATTATCATTTCCTAAGTTTAGTTTAGTAGATAAAGATGTATGGAAAGACGACATGGCTCCAAAATCCATACAAATTTGATTCAAAGTGTATTCCATAGCATTTAAGTTTATTTGAAAAGAGCAATCCCTAGAGTTTCTTGCTCGTTCTTCTCAGTGAAGTCAGCGTAGTGAACGAGCAGTAGCTTAAATGTGACGTTTTTAATTGTAAATTTATTATTCCTATGGAATAAATGATTCTTTGACTTTGACGGGCGCTGTGGCAGTTCCCCTCAAATCTTTGCGACTTAAAGCTCTTAGTGGCTCTGCGACTATTATGAACAGGCGTAGCTTATCGTCAGGCGCACGACTTGTTTATTCCGTCACTTGATATTATTAAAAAAATCCTGTTTATATTCAAAGTTTGCCATTTACGAAGCAAAGCTATAGTAAAAGAAAAACTTAACATTCAAGGTTATTGTTCAGTTTCTTCTGCGTATTTGTATGACTTAAATCCATAGTAGTGACCTGTTTAGCTCTTGCAAGTTATATCGGTCTGTATTTGAAATAAATATTACAAATTATAAATGTATAACAATTGTTTATTTACAAAAAGCATCCCCTGGAGTTTCTAACTCCTTTTTTTCTGTTGAATTTGCCTTACGAATGAGTAGTACAGTTTAATCAAAGTGTATTTTGCTTTCCTATGAAAGAAATATTAATTCTTATATTATTTACTATATAAAAAACACGTACATGGTGCGTGCATTGCGCCTTTTTAACAATGTGACAGTAAATCGCTCTGAATTTGTTTTGTACAAGCATAGACACAAACAGGCGAGAAATGACCATACAGTCACTTTGACACATCACGTGACTGGCGATAATTACATAATTGTCTATTATTTTTGTTTTTTTTTATTGTGTTCTTTTTTTTGCATTTTTCATAAAAAAAATCTTATTTTGGCTTGCTAAGCACTTTATTATGTTTCATGTTGGTGGAAATTCGTCGATGGCGTTGGATTACTTGTTTAATATACTATAAATGTTATATTTGTCCGTGAATTTTCCTAGGATGTATAAATAAAAAATATAAAAAGGTTTACGACAGCTTCACTTTAAAAACAAAGTAAGATCGTCAGTTATAAGATAATTGTCACATACAGCAGTTATATCGGATAGGAACAATATAAAAAATGTGTTGAGCAATTTATTAATAGATAAATGTTACTATATGACATCAACGAATTCTTAAATGACACCATAACTTAATCTTTTTCACCTGACAAAGCCACTTGACTTTTGTAATTTAATGGTTGGAATGAATTAATTTGTTTTTATTATGTATATTCACTATTTTGGACATTAATAATTGATCTGACATTCTTGAATACTAACGATATTATAAACATATGTAATACTTTAAATATATTCTCTTTTTTTTTTTTCATTTTTATATTGTCAATACCGGTAATTGTGTTTGTATTATAATATTCATATACCAAATATGTGTACTTTCAATATGTTTGTATGCCAAATGTTTGGCCGGACACAGTGAAACTATACCTACTCATTTTGTACATGTCAACTTGCATATCTAACCTGTGTTTTCACAAATAAATGAATTATTATTATTATTATATAAATATGTGGTGATATCGCACCTCCAGTGAAACGGAGCCTTAACTTACTTTCGTGAAATTTGCAGAAAATGTGTTAAAAGTTTTATTTGTTTTTGGGACTACTGTGCACATTTTAAGAGCTCTTAAATGTTAGATATACTTAACTGCCTCCTTGGTCGAAGGGTTACCATGCTGGTCAGCCACGTAGAGGTTCGATTCCCGGGCCGGGAGAAATATTTGTAAAGCGTATATTTATTTCTCTCGTGAGTTTGGGTGTAATTTGTGGTTGTGTATGTGTGGTTGTCCATGGCACCCGCGACTCGGGGTTTCCCTTGTGCGGGGTTATGAGTGTGTACGCGTTATTTCAATATGCATTATGCAAAGTCTCTGTTTTTTCCTATAACTTCCGCGTTAGGCATTAGGCAATACTTTGGCATCATTAGAATATAATAGAATAGAATAGAAATCGTTTATTCCGTATGAAAGCGCAGTACACACGAATTACATTACTAAAAAATACATAACAGTTTGCGACTACAACATTAGATTTAAAGCAAAGGGAAAGCACAAAATGCCTCATTACAACCCATTTATTAAATAATGTGACTGAAAAAAATAAATAAATAAAAAAGAAAACTTAAATAAATAATTAATGTAACGAATAATAATTCACAAGACTTGCAGCGTGTGCGCTGTGCTGTTAGGGAATCCGTTATCCACTCAGCGTATTGTCGTCTCACTGAAGGTGCTACAACACTGTTTTTCAATGGATCTGGTAACAGAAATACACAATGACACTATAAAGTCACTATCTCAATTTCTGCAGCTAAGTCTGTGTTTCACAGGAGTCGCGATATGTGGTCGTCACGTGTAGAAAATATTGTTGTTGATTTATTACAACACTCGTTAATTTATATTGTTGCTCCTTGTGACACCATTGTATTGTTGGAAAATTTTAATACTATGTAAATTTAAGATGTGCAATGAATACTTTAGTTATATTGCATTTGTTACATTTTCGTTGTATGCAGAGGTTTTTTTTATCTTGCTACTGAAGTGTGCATTTGAGAATTATCTATTTTAACGTAAAGTCAAAAAAATTCTACAGGGACCGGTTAAGGGGACAAACAAGTCGTGTGCCTGGTGGTGAAACACGCCTGTCTATAGCAGTTGCAGAACCACTCAGAGCTTTAAATCGCAAAGATCTGTGGGGCACTGCCACCACACTCGTCACCCTGAGACATAAGTTGATGAGTCCCATGTGCCTGTAAATTCACCAGCAAACTTACTCTTTAAAACCGAAACGCAGTAATGCTCACATTACCGCTTGGCGGCAGAAATAGGTAAGGTGGCAGTACTTCCTTAGTCGAATTCTTTCACAAGGAGTTTTAGTGCTACTTACAATAATTGTAATCTTGGGTAGTTAGAAAAACGCATCCTGACAGTTACGCAACCTTGGAGCGAATAAGTGTACCACACTTTGCATCAATTACGTCGGTATTTTGATCTTATTTCCATCTGATTTAGACATACAGCCCAGTTCAGTCAAAAAGTCTAGATCGTTTTGGGAGGCAGAGTGATTTTGCCATTAGCTTTTTGAGAAACAGTTCGTCCAAAGAAGTAGGAGAGACCGGGACTGGAAGTTCCCAGGGTAAGTTGTTCTCACAGTAATAACTTTCTTATTTTATTACTGCATTCCGGTTTGGGAGGGCAAGGGAGCTGGTGAAATTACAGGCTTATGGGACTTGTCAACTTATACCTCAGGGTGATGGGCACGGTGGCAACACTCCTAAGATCTTGGCGATTTAAAGCTCTGAGTGGCACTAACTGTTATGGATAGGCTTGTCCCTTACCACCAGGCGCATGACTTGTTCGTCCTAACATTTTGTAATATAAAAAAATACAATATTTCGGACAAGGTTCACCACGCCATTGACGACATCTGTGGCCTAATGGTTTAGACAGTGGGCGCTCGTTGAACTGAAAACTTCCGAATTCGATTCCTTCCCAGATGTTCTGATGAGCGCCAGAGAGTGAAGTTCGTTGCTCTGGTACTCGAATCCTTGAGTTTGAAACCAGTAGGGCTAGCACGACAGGGCGCGACTTAATAATAATAACACTGCACACACTCCTAGCTCCGCACTAGGAAAACTCTGAGTCGCGGGTGCCATGGAGACACACATAACCACAAATTACATCCAAACTCACGAGAGAAATAAATGTAGGCCATACAAATATTACTCCCGGCCCGGGAATCGAACCTGTGGCAGTCCAGCATGGTAACTGTTCGGTCACGGAGGCAGTTAATGATGTCTATACGAGAATAGCAGTATCTCGCGCAAGTCGCGCCTTGTCGACGTAGCCCTAGAGGTAAATGGTGTGATTGTCTAGCAGGTTATTATTATTGTACCTTATTATATCCCCAGTGCCTGTTAACAATTCGATTACCTGTACATTATTTGTTGCAGCCGAGTAGCCGACATGTTGGAGGTGGTAGGCGAGCGCGTAGGTGGGTGGTGCGGGCGCGACAGCACGTCCTTGCGGCATGCCGTGCGCGCGCGCCGCCGGCCTCGGCACGATATATACGCGAAACTTGATGCCGAGATCGCTGTAAGTAGTTCTATTCCACGGTATCAAAATGAACTTCACTCATTGATGACATTAGAGCGTTAACAAGAGCTAATGAGAAGACTGTAACAAATAACAAGGCCACCTATAAGTGACTGACACGAAGGGGAGAATTAGTGACGATGGACCCAATCTTGCTAATTTTCCAGAAACCTCTCGTCATTGTAATTCCATTGAGACTCTACTAACATTACATTGCAATTATGATAATATTTGCTATTCTGCTAAAATCTAGTTCCAATGGCAGTTTAGTGTTAGTGGAATGGGAGTGACGGCATTCATTCATTCAATCAATCACCAACATTCGATGTTGCCTTACTAAAAATATTATGGAAATTACTATGCATAGCTTAAGTTTTATCTCGTTTAAGCAGCCATTTAGTGTTCAAATTAAATATACTCCCGGACACATAATTCGAGTCACCTTGCATTTTCAATATTAAATGCTTAGCTTAAACAATGCTATTATGCAAGTTTGAAACTGGTATACTAAACGTCATTTCCTTAAGTCCTTATCGAAAATTTGGATTTAAAATATTGGAGAAAACTTTTTCATCGATGCTAATTATATTTTTATATAAAATTTTTTTAGGACAAAAATGCAAGGTAGCTCGAATTATGGGTCCGGGAGTGTATATATAATATTAATACACTACGCCTTCGACATGCCATCGAAGAGCAGATACTAAAAAATTGCTATGGATGTTGTATTCAACGTCATACTCTACACACAACTGAGATGATTTAAAATTAGCAGACTTTGAGACCACCAGACAGACTTAAGAAATTGACAGATTCAGTGAGGATGTACATTTTTTCGCATTTTTTTGAAATAAAACGTCCGCTGATGTGTAACAAACCTGCATCAGCAACGATCCAGATCTCCAAGTCTGCGAATTTTAAATCGTATCGTATATCGGTAACGTGTGAACTATGGCAGGAGTTTGTACGTTTGGTATTCTGTTAAAAGTGAAGAGTAGTGGTTTGTCAGTGCCTAGCCATGGAGCTAATATTCTATTCTGCTCTTCACTGCCGTATCGATGGCACGTCCATGGTGTAGTCTAATTATTTGACATTAAATTGCTGATTAAATGAGATAAAAAATAAGATATGCATAGAAATTTCCATGGTAGTTTTGGTAATGGAAAACGTTATTTTAATAGATTTCATTATTACATACTTTTCTTTTTTTCGCAGTTAAAATTCTGTGAATGTAAATGCTATTAAGTACTTTAACGTCATACTACGATAAGACGATTCGAAACATCGAAAAAGAAAGAGATGACATTATACAGTTCATATAGCGTTATTTCTTTCCTATTTTTAGTAAGGAATAGACAATATTAGGAAAGCATTCTACTATTCTACTACTTGGTTGATGGGTTTGTCATGGTACGAATATGAGTAATTTTATAATAAGCTGACTATAAGCTTACATTGAAATAAGATTGTGTTTTGAAATGTTATGGTAGGCCGCTGGTCTTCTTATACGAGTACTATGGTAATATTAAATATACTGTGCCCATTCAGATCTCTTACAATAACACATAAGTACGTGAATTAACGCAAAATGCATTCTAATGTCACGGTTCAAGGCTTTTATGGCTAACAATACCTTTTATTATGTTTTTATCGTTTAAGCAAAATATAATTAACTATGTGCAAAGTTGTGAGAAATGTCACTGAGTTCAATAACATTACACGCATTGTACTAATGGTGTAATACACGCGTTGTTTGCAGCACGCAATGTAGGGTGGAGTTAACAAAATTACACGATTATAATTACATACGCGTTTGAAAAGAAGTTGCATGGACATAATTGTTTTGTTACGTTTACGTTTTACGTAAGTGCAAAATCTATTTTTATGACATGCGAAAAACAAATGACGCTGACTAGACTGTTGCTATTTTGCTAGGTTCTCCTAACGAACTTCTTATCTAAGTCAAAGTCAAACAATCATATTCCATAGGTAAAATAAATTTACACTTGGAAACGTGACATTTAAGCTACACTGCTCGTTTACTACGTTGAGTTCTCTGATAATAACGAGCAAGAAACTTGTGATTGCTCTTTCAAAATAAACTTAAATGGAATACACTTTGAATCAAATTTGTGTGGAATCTAGAGCCATATGTCATCATTATGTAACACGTAGTCTTCAATTTTATAATATGTTTTCAATCAAAATATTTTTAATGTAGTTTTTAAACTTAGGAAATGATAATCTTAATATATGCTCCGGAATCTTTTTGTAAAAACATATACAGTTCCCCGTCAAAGAGTCGTTTACCTTAAACGAAATCGTGATACCATGAGTTTGGACTTATGTCTAAAGTTAATATTATAGATGTCTTCTTTCTTATTATACAAATTATGTATATTTTTACGGGCATATAATATATTTGAGTAAATGTACTGTGATGCTACAGTCATGATACTAGTCGAATTGCTCGTTTTTGCAATACAAATATGGTTTGTATATCTGCCGCTTTACCCCACATGAGAATCTCGTAGGACATTATACTATGGAAGTAACTAAAGTAAACTAGCAGTAGCAACATCGGTAACCTCACGTAGGCATTCTACGGACTGCTTATGCAACAGAGCGTAATCTGCTGGCTAAGGAAGATAAGTTTACTATCTAAGGTCACTCCCAAAAAAAAAAACAGCTTTATTTATTAATAAACAATGTCTAATTTTTCTTCGATTTTACATTAGGTAATTCAAATTTAACACACTTTGTCTTCTTGGCATGGGATAAGGTAATAGTACTTCCCTGGACGAATTATTTTACAAGGAGCTATACTGTTACTAAACCCTTTATTTGTTTCGTCATCTAAACTTGAATAAATCGTAACTCCGTTTTTGGACACTAATCCCTTTATTACTCTTCACGCCCACTGCGTTCCTTACACTCTACCTTACCTCTATAATATATACATCATTTCAGTGACCAATGCGCTTTGTTATGAACGATGGCCCAATATCTTTTCCTGCGTAACATTTTTTTCATCCTATTCTGGTACATTGCTAAAGTTATTTCAACAATAGGCAAAGTAAATGACTATCATTACGTGAACCTTTTTTTGTTATGAGGTAATTATAGGTAATAGTTCGCGTTTTAGACTTGGCCTACATTTTGTAATGCAATATTTGTGTTGAAACGTAATATGTTATATTTAAAATTACATTTCGTGGTGATAATTGAGAAATATTAAAAATTACTATAAGAGCGTGATCATACGAGCTGCGTTCCTACTGCAGTTGTAAAACAGTTGCCTCAACTGCATTGCAATTGTCAAATGTTAGTGCAACTGGCGTGCAATTAAAACACAGTAGGCGCGACTACATCACAACCCTTTTACAATTGTCGGCTGCAGAATGCGTAGCATGCCGCTGCGATAAAACTATTATATCCACATTTAGCTGTCAAATTCGAGAAATAAAACCGCCATTTTGAAATTTTATCACAATAGCGAAAATGACGGGCAGTATACGCTTCTATAATTAGATTCCGGTTAATATTCAAAATTTGCCATTCTCGAGGCTTAAAACAAAAACTTTATACTAAAGGTTTATGATACTGCTTCTGCGCGATTAGATTTTTTTACCCGTTTAGACCCGTTTAGCTGTCTCATGTAGTCACGATATGATGTTTGAAATAAATATTGTGAATGATAAATGTGTACAAACGCTTATTTACAAATAGCAACCCCTGCAGTTTCTTGCTCATTCTTCTCAGAGCAATCTTCCTTAAGAATGAACAGTAGAGTTTAATCAATGTGACGATTTGAAGTGTAATTTCTGTACCTATGAAATAAAGATTATTTCAGTTTGTTTGTTTCACCAGCACCTTTGCCCTTCGAAACCGGGACGCAGTAACGTTCACATTACTGCTTGGCAGCAGAGATAGGTTAGGTGGCAGTACTTCCATGGAAAAACTGCCAACTGCCAAATACGTCTTAAATGTCCATGATTCCCTTCCTCCTTCGTTAAGTTCATTCACATACCTCTTGAGCGTCATAGTAAGCAACTATGCGGCGCGGGTGGGCGCCGTAGCATACCTTCTACGGCGCCCACCCGCTTGATACGCGTGGGGGCTTTATGTCCAATGCTCCTGTTTTGGAAAGGTCTCCGTTCTCTTGCTCCAGCAGTTTTGTGTAGGTACACAGCAGGGCTATTTTGTATTAAAACGAAAGTTTTAGTTGTAAGATTTAATTAGCTCAAAAAAATATTATCAATGCAAAACTGCATCAATACAGTCATCGATTTGTATGAGAAGTAGGAATTATGTGATTTTTCCCAAAGTGGTAAAACTTAAGTTTCTATTACAATAAAAATGTCTTAACTATAAATAACGTTAAAAACATATCACTCATCATCATATCGTTACGTGTTTGGGAAACTGACATTTCATATCAAATACAATTTTTTCGTACTTGCCACCAGTCGAATGGCGTAGGTATGTTATATGGCTGGGCTGCTAACACAACAAATTTATTGCCCGGGCGCTTGCCGCGTGAGAGAGATTTTTTCTATTTTATTTTGTTACTGAAAAGTCTGGACTTTCTTGCAAATATCAGAATTTTTTCCGGATTAATTATAATTTCGGAACAATACCCCTACCTACACAAAGAATTTTTTTTTATCTTCTTTATCAGTTTCCCGAAAATGTTACATTTCAAATGACGCCATTTTATTATTGCGGGTGCGATGTACTCGTAATATGAACGTTAATCCTTGATTGTGTCGCTAATACCTCGCGTCAGGTGTGATAGTATCTTAAAACATTGCTGCAACACGTATTAGATATTTTAATTAAGACGTATAGCCATACAATTTATAGTGACGTGTGTTTTTAGGCCCGCAACACAGCGCTTTATCGCTTGAAAGATGGACCTAACATCCCCCCACCGCAACCTTTGCAGAAAGCGCCCTCCGGCTTGGCTTGTTCACGGTGTGCGCCTTTGTCTAGGGTAAGTGTTTTTGTTACAATACTCAGGTTATTAATAGATCTAAGTCCCTACGCAATGGACTAGCCTGTCGTAAATAAGACGCATTTTAATAGTTTTCGCAATTTATTTCACATGAACTACTACGGACTTCTAGTATTATGAGGTCAATACTGCACTGTACTAAATATTTAAAAATGCAATTTGTATGGAGTCGGTACTATTTGATTTTCCTTCATATTTTATAGGTTGAAAGACTGTCATAACTAACTAAATATCCTTTTTTTACAAAATAAGAATTTTAGTTAGAATGGTGTGTTTAAAAATCACTCTACTCGTACACATAGGTTGATATTATACATACAGATACCTTCTAAAAAATATAACTTTTTTGCGAGCTTGTATATATACATAATGTAGATACGTATTAGAGATTTGGAACGAGCTGGGAACGTTCAATTTAGCATCCCACTCGAACTTGTGTAAAAAGCAGTGAAAGATCGCTTTTTGTCCAGCTCGCACCGTTCCTACTGTATAAAAGATAGGTGAACTATCAACGCAGACTGTTCCTAGTTCGTACTGAACTAAAAAGAACAATGAACTGTTAAAACCATGCAAGACGAACTAGTTCATGTCGGTCAGTGTAGGGAATATATTCGTAATAGTTCATAGTTCATGAAGTATACAAGCCTACTCAGTATCTGACAGAGCAGTCACGAGTTGCGAGAGCGATGCGGCGTATATTCTTATGAATTCGAACCGACTGAAGTTGACCAACTCAGTGACTCGAATCGACGAGTCACCTCGCAACGGGCACCTCGCCTGGGCAACTCGGCACTATCCTGCGTATGGCCCACATATGGAGTCTTACAGGACGCATTGCAGGATTGGAGGACGGCTTGCACGCTGCCACTACATTCATAGTCCTGCATTACGCGGCGGACTGCTATGCAGGATAATGAATTAATTTGGCCTTATAAGCCAAAACCGGTCTAAAGTGTAAAACCCAGTGTCCTGTTCACTGCATCTAATAGATATGTACACTAGTGCTTAATTTATGCCGAAGGACTTTATTAATTAAACATTCGACCTAATATCAAGTGTCTTTACTAAAACTTGTTGATAAGTTTCTTAAGAGTAGATTCGTCGTGATAGCGTCATGGCTTTTTTAAATCAAAATACTAAATCTTGTCTTTAAAAAATCACCCTTAAGCAGGGCGCTTTTTGTATTGAAATTTACGAGTTTATTAAGAATTTACGTAGCAATCAATCATATGTGCTAATGGGCTTCAAAAAATCAGTCTTCAAAAACATTTCTGAATTGTATTTGATATGTTACTTTTGTTTCGTAGCTTATTTTTTGTAAGATTCCCCAATAAATTTTATTTATCGAATTATGTCATTTCATTAATGGGATTGCTAATTAATTTATGTGCGAAATCTAATTTGTAATTTACCAAGAGCTTTTCGGGGAAGGAAAACATTGTGATAATACCCGCATGTCAAAGAAGGTTCACAACACATGTATAAGGTTTGCTATTTAAATAGGAATAAATGTAAAAATTTTAGACAACATGACATAATGTTACTCTGATGCGAAAGTAAATAAATAAAGCACTTGTGTTATGGAAATTTTAAACATAGTACCACAAACACCCAAGCAGCACCAAGACAATGAAACAACAAGACAACAGAAATGCTAATTTTCTAAAAATATTGACCCAGCTGGGGACCGAACACAGGACCTTAGAGATGGCAACATCATGAAAACCAGTATTAGGTAGTTAAAAATATGAGGTAAGTATTATTTATTTTACCATTTGTACCTTTTATTATCAAGTCTTCAGTCGTATTTCATTTTTATTCTGTCTATGTCTAGTCTTTGTCTATCTCGTTTTTATTTCCTGTAAGTCAGACTTTAAGTACCGTAAAAAATAAAATTCATATTTTAAAATTTGTCAAGACTATGAGTACCTAGGCAATATTACTAGCTTTAACTTCTCAAAACTGGTTGTGGTTCATCTGTCGTTTTTATTCTTCCAAAGTAAGGTATAGGTTTTAATGTATTTAGTTATTAACAAAGTAGTTATAAGGAGAACAATTCAGTACCTATATTCAGGTAATATAGGTTATAGATATTTGTCGGGTGACAGCAATACTCGCAAATCTGCCTGCATACAGCAGAGTTAATTGCGTTAAAGGTATATTTAATAGGTATGATGATCACATTGAATGAAAACTACATGAATCAACTTTAAAAATAGAATTGAAATGACTAGGTGAAAGCAGCAGCAACATGTCTTGATTTCATCACACAGCGCATAGATAGATTGAGTGACAAAGGCCGATCTGTACAGTTTTTCATGTAGCATAAGTACGGTCACAAATTACACAGATATATAGTTCTGTGTCTTTAAAATATAGATTTTACAATTTGGTACGGTTACAGTGACATTTCAATGACGTTTGGGATGGGATTTGAAATTTCTAGAGACGTAATGATAGAAAATCGAGAGAGAAAAAAATCGATTAAATATATATGATCGATATAATCTTTAACGACGAAAGAATCAATTCATTGACGATAACGTAGGAATAAACAATTAATGATATTGTTACTATGTTATTATGATACAAAAAAAAACAGGCACAACATCAAAACTCAATAACCAAACGTAAAGCCAACAAAATAATAATCAGTCTCCTTTTATATCGATATCTGTGGAGCTTACAATTTATTTTGTTATCTCGTTGGGGTCGCGAGTTGTTCGACATGGGTCTTTTGTTCGATGTGCTCCATGAACGATTGGACTGCCCGGACTTAGTATGTACCTACGTCAAAGAGACCTACGCGTACCTGCGCGGCGTACTAGACACACTTCTCTGTTTCATATGCCATTTCGTCATTTCACTCCACTAACTATGTCATGAACTCGTTAGTCACAAGATCAGTCAGGAGATATAAGTAATAATCATTTTAATGAAATAGATCCATTTGTAAAAGTAGAATATTCATTTGAATCGAAAATACTCCAAATTATTAAACGAATTCTATTTAATTTTATCATAATTATTATTTATATGACATAATAGGAGAATTTTTATGTTACACTTCACGTCAAACTTAATGTACCTGAATTCGGTTTATTATTTATGTAATGTGCTTTACAACGGGATAATCTAGGCTAATGTTATTAAGAGTTGTTTTCTAATTATTACAAAAACAATTTAATAAGCCGTCTGCTTTCCGCATTAACTAGTTCGATCATGACTCTCAATTATCAAAATAATGACTCCTGACTAAGCCGGTAATGAAGTTGTTTCCGTTTATTATTGTACATACATTTTAAAAATAACATTATATTGTCGGCTAAATTCGAAAAGCTAGTAACCGTGTGAGGTTTTCGTTCAAAAACGGAGTTACGAGGTTGTCAAATTTAGCTGACGATATTATTATTTTTCCTGTTTCTTTTTTTTCTTAGTCGGTTTTAACTATATGAAATGTTATATTTTGTTGTGGCGACAACAATAAACAATTTCACTGACAGAAACACATCAAACACTAAGCAAATATTTCTTAGAGGACCTAACTAACTAACCTGATTTTAAGTGTGAAAGCACATTTCATTATAATTTATTATAGAACAGGGTTTCTTTGTTGGTTAATTATGGTTTATTTAATTACTAAAAAACTATGCATTAAGAGAAAAAAAATTAGGGGTTAATTTTTTATAAAGTTGTATACATGTTTCTCCAAAAAAATTTTCGGCTCGGTATTTGATATTTTGGTTTAATGAGGTTCATCAGTCTATTGAAACCTATAACATTTTCTACATTTGAGATCGGTTGATTATCCAAAGCAATCATTTCTTAGAATTAGAAGCATTCATTATCATTTTTTAAATGTACGTACGATATTAACTAATCAGTCAGGTAGGTATGTACCTAAACGATTTAATTTTCCGCAAAAAGTATGTTCGGCAGAAAGTTCGGCATTTTTACCGAATAATCTGCCGAATACGAATGTTCGGTTATTGTGCCGAACACACCGAATACCGAACATAAAACGAATATTCGGCCCACTTCTAGTTACAATACTTGTCTTATTATAGGTAATAATACTTAATAGTGGGGGTCGCGTACCTCGTTCAACCTGCTCTCCCGTGCATCTGTTTATCGTTAATAGTAGAGTATGAGTGGAAACTAAGGTCGTTCTTTTTTAACCAACTTTAAAAATACAGCGCTTTTTTAGGCTCATGTACTGTGTACCAGATGCTACTGAATACAATAAATTATTTTAAATATGCTATGTTAAAATCGACAGTATTTTACGTTCAAGTTTAAAGTATAATTATATATAATTGTAACTTTTCAAATAAAAAACCCACCTCATAAGTTAGCTTATCGGCTTTTTATTGGAATCGGTTAACGTAAAGTGCGCGAAACCGGGTTCATCCTCTAGTTCGCCAACCTTAGAGGTAAAATATTTTCTTGAAATTTAAATGGGACCAATACTGAGGTACTCTCTTTCCAACAAAAAAGAATCATCAAAATCGATTCACAAATGCCGGAGAAATCGCGTAACATACTTTTAAAAAAATACAGTCAAATTGAGAACCTTCTTTTTGAAGTCGGTTAAAAATTGGATCTCATTTCAAAGGGGTGAAAGCTTTATTTCCAAAATTAATTTAAATATGTTATAAATGTGATAAAATCGACAGTATTTTACAATGTTTCAGTTTAAAATTTTATTCTGGTAAAATTGGATCTTATTACAACAACGTTTAAAAGTTTCAAAACACATACAATTACTGCAAGATTGAAACGAGTATAACAAGTCGCTTTTTTAAATTTTCATATGTTACTATGTACAGTATTACTCTACCTACTACCACTATCACTTAGGAAATGTTAAGATAATAAATTCAAATACGTTTAAGGGTGGCACCCTGTGGCGGACTCGACTTGACCCATTTAAAAAATGCTTCACGACCATAATCCATAAGACCCCTTCTTTTTCGCTC